CAATTTTGTTTACTCATTTTAATTACCAAACCATTCTTTAGTTAATTAGTCCATTGGTGAGTTTCTTTTAAAGTGAAAGAAGTGTCAACCAAGGGGTAGTTTAAGGCATGAGAGAAGCTTCATGCCGTTGGTAATGAACCCTCAAAAGAGGATTAAACCATTAAGCATGAGCCTCAACCGCAAGCTTAAATAACCCTAAGGTTGAAACAACTCTCAAAGCAAATGAAAAATTGAAGAAACGAGAGAAGTTGCAGAGATTGTATGTGCTGCTCTAGCAAATTAAAAGCGCTAAAAAACATGCAACCAACTCACACCAATGATGATTAAAGCCTTAAAATACCAAACTAGTGAAGGAATTGACACTACAACTATGTAAAACAAGACTCAACTGACCCAAACAGCCCAAAATAGAGCTAAAGCATGCTATTTCAGAAGAAAAACATGCACCGTCACCACTTTCCACCACCGTCTTCCGCCGCCACTTGCTGCCACTTGCCATTTCTCACTCTTTTTTATATTTTTAATTTTTTTTAAACATTTTGTCAATTACCAAACACGTTTGTAGTTTATGTTTTTCTAAAAATAAACAAAAACTAGTTTATAAAATTTTTGTAAATATAAACTGAAAACGTAAATGTTACCAAACAGTTTTACCCGAAACTGTGTTTTAGTGAAATTCTATTGCTTCTTTATTTTTTTTGAGTACACTGGCTTTTACAACAATTGTTAATTATTGAGAGATTTATTTATAAATCTCATTTAGAGGATTTATAGTCCAATAAATCCATAAAGTTTCCTTATGTTCCACCTAATTCCATATATTTCGACTCGTATCCCAAGAGGTTCTGTTTTGGGAAATTCTATTTACACAACATATTTACCTCTTTACACCCTCCATTTGAGATTTTTTTTTTCTTTCTAATTTTTCCAATGTGTGAAATTACCTTTAAAGACAAAAGATAAAAATTAAATATATTTAATTATCTCTTTACATCCATTACACTTCAATCCCTACTTCTTTTCTTTCTTTCTCATTTCTGCTTCTCTGCTGTACATCTACTTTCAAAGAGTGAGAATTATGATATTTTGATCATAATAATAAAAAATAAATAAATAAAACAATGGACAAATAAATGGTGATGAAGGACTAGCAAAAAAGTAAAATGATGAGTTTTTTTTCTTTATTTTTTATGTTTTTGTTTCGTTTTTTAAGACGATTGTTCGACTTTTGTTTGGTGTACGAGAACTGAACAAAATCAAATAGGCCAGAATCACACTACCAAACAAAAAATACATATCCGACAATCCATTGTTGAACAAAAAATACTTGTTCAATAACCTACTATCAAACAAAAAGTACATGTTCAGGTAACTCACCGCTAAACATTTTCCAGTTTTACTTTTTTGAATTTTTTTTTTTTTTTTTTTTAATTTTTTTTTTTTTTTTTTTTTTTGAAGGATTCTGTTGCTATTCATTGTAGTAAGGCTAGTAGTGCATTATTAATGGACTATAATCATGAATTCATTACAAACGAAATTTGTTAGATTTATCTACTTCCTAATCATCCAACACATCCGAAAACAAGCAATTAGATTCGTTTTCATCACCCATGTGCTAATGGATGGGGAGAAAGCATATTCTACCCATATTGATCAATTTCATACACTTGTCAATCCTGATGTAGTA